TTCTTCTCCCAGGTTCTAGTGAACTCCACCCTTCATGAAGAGACAGAGCATTTAATAATCAGTCTTCACAAATAAGAAGTCTCATGTGAATGGCCTTTGAGGTATAGGTTATATGTCAGAATAATCACATTTATTTGGAATTTTTTCATGCATTGAACCAAAATCTTCTTCTCTGCACCTTATATCCACTGTTCCTTATTCTACCATTTCCTGCCAGGCTTTATATGTCTATGTTATGACTTATTATAGACAACCCTTCAAATGCTTAAAGAGAGCTGCCCTAGCACCTCCTACCAAGTCTTCTCCTGGTTAAATATCCTTCCTTTCTCCCCCAACTCTTATAGGGCATGTTCTCTAGCCTTCTCACTGTCCTACTATTTCTTCACTGGAATTTCTCCAGCTTGTTAATGGCCTTCTTAAAATGAAATGCCCAAATTCAAGTACAATCAATATCAAATCAGGACAGAATAAAACCAAATCATCACATTCTTCATTTTGAACATCCTACAGGATGCAGGCTAAAATTATATTAGTTTTTTTTGGGTTTGTTTTCAGCACCATATTGGTGACTTATATGGCATTTGCAGGCTACTAAAACTTGCTCTTTTTTTCTTCTTCACAAAAGCATTGTCTAGACAAAATATGGGGAGAAATGTCCATGTATTATTAGCCTGATTGTCATTGGATACCTGTTTGATATCTAAGTTCACACTATAGAGCACTTGAGGATCCCCAAAGCTCTTTTCTCACAACTCTGTGAGATAGAAAAAGTCCTGTTACCTCTGTTTTACAAGTAAGGAAACTGAGGCTCAGTCAGAGAGATTCAGTGACTAGCTCAGGTAGTAACTGTCAGGACTTGAACACAGGTCTTCTAACTGAAAAAAAACCCCACAACTGTGCTATTTCCATTATCCCATGCTGGCTGTTATTTTTCTGGGCTCTGACTCTTTTCTCCTCGGTCACAGATACCTTTTCAAACAGGTATGTCTCCTGCATAGTCTTGTATACAGTGACTATCTTGGTAGTCCTGACTTTGAGTATGCCTTGGTCTGGGGAGACTGAAATGAGTCCATGCAGAGTTTCCCTGACACCCTGGTGATATGGCAGTTATTGTGAAGTGCTCTCACTGCCTTCCAAAGCTGAGCCTGTTTGAAAGGATTATAGTCCTGAAACCCCCAGTTTCCTCCTCCATGAGCTCTTCTTGGAAATACTTTTAAGAGATAAGTAGGAATTGTCTAGGGGGTGAGAGAACAGGCTTTGAAATTCTGTTTGCAGATAGTAATTCCAATTAATACCTGAACCACCAGCAATCAAAGGGCCCAGGATTCTAAACCTCTTAGCAGAGCCTTGAGGTGAGAGCAAAGTTTCCTGACTTGAGTTCAAACAATTTTCAAATGTTCATGCAGTTTTTCCACAGATGTTATTTATTTCTCCTCAGCAGTCCCAGGAGTGAGCAATCACTCTCTCTCTCTCTCTCTCTCTCTCTCTCTCTCTCTCTCTCTCTCTCTCTCTCTTTCTTTCTTTTAGCAGTCATGAGAATTACACAGTGTTTTGAAAGGGTGGGGAAAAAAAAGTTTTCATTGCTTTAATTACCAACCACTGAAGATTTAGACATAGAAAGAATAAAACAAACAAACAAACACAGGAAGAAAAGAGTTTCTTAGAAGTTGTTAATTGCTTTGGGTTAGCATAGGTGAAGAAATTAGCTGGCTGGTGATTTATTAGGGGGAATCATTAGGTAGAGAGAAATGAAATGAAAAGAGCTTGTCTCTAAGGACTATATATCATTTTATAGAATCACAAATTTTTAGAGTTGAAAAGGACATTCCCCCTCATTTACTGGGTGAGGAAACCAAGGTCTAGAACAGAAATTCTTAACCCGGAGTCTGTAACCTTTTTTTTTGTTTGTTTTTGTTTTGATAAATATGTTTCAATAAAGTTGGTTTTCTTTATAATCCCATGTATTTTATTTTATGTATTAAAAATTGTTCAGAGAAGGGGTCCACAGAATTCATCAGACTTCCAAAGGGTTCCATGATATAAAAACATCAAGAATCCTTGGCCTAGACCTATAAAATGACTTACCTTCTATCATAGTTAGAAAAGATGGGACAAAAGTTCCAGTCTTCTTAACTCTCCATTCAATCCTCTTTTCCATCACATTGTGCTATATATCCTTCTTATCTAACCAGTGGGTCTGCAAGTGGGATACTAGCTGGCTTGTCCTGGAGGCTGGTGGAAGCCCACTCTTGCTAGTTGGTCTGGTCATGATGCTAAAGGCTGGGCCTCTTTGGCCTTTTATTGATTGCTTTTACTACTCATCTGTTCTATAACTATGAGTGAGATTGCCTAGATGTGAGATCTGGCCATTCTGGGGCCTTGTAAGAAACATGACTTAGTATCTTATTAATAGAAAGGGTGAGCAGCAGTCACAGGAAGAGATGGATAAGCATTTATTGGGAAATCTGGCTATGGCTATGTTCAAATGTCTCTACTCAACCACTGGGCTAGTTAGGGGGCTGCATGGTTGCCAGGACAAATAGTTTTGATTTGGGAACTTACTAAACTGCGTGAGAATCTAATTATGTGGTTTCATTCAAGCCAATGGGCCCTGCCAGTTATTTGTTACTATGTGATTTGAATCCTTTTCTGCCTCTCTTCTCTCAGGCTGACTTGGCCTCATTGATCTTTCCTTGGGGCATTTTGGCATATACTTCCTCTGTCTGTTTTTGATCTTAGATAGAGGGAGAAAACATTTCTGTCAGTCAAAATCTTATCTAACTATCAAGACCAGTTCAAATACTTCCTGTTCTATGAAGCCTTTCCAGATTTCCAAAAGAACATAATTTTTCTTCTCTGAATTCAATTCAGTTCAATTTGTCAAAATATCCCCATTTCTATCTATCCATCTATCTATCTGTCTATTTATCTATCTATCTGTCTGTCTATCTATCCATCCGTGTATCATCATCATCACCATCTATATCTATCATCCGTCTATCGTATCTATTACTTCATTTTATACTTCCATATGAGGAAGATAGTGCAAGGGATTATTATTTCCATTTACAGATGAAGTAAGGCACATAGACATAGTGATTTGCCCAAAATTAAAGTGCTAGCTAGTAGCAGCAGATGCTACACTTAAGAACTAGAAGATCCTTTTATTTGTAATAGAATTAGTTGAGTTTCAACTAGACCTTCAGTGTTTGTTTATACCACAATCCATGAGAGGATGCCTGTAATGGCCACATCCATCTTTACTATTAATCAGCTTGCAGGAACGTGCCCCACTGATATGTCACATGAATAGTTAACAATCAGGAAAGGAGAGATAGGAAGAAACAGATGAAGCATTTAATGCAGAGAAAAAAAATAGAAGAAGGAAAGGAGAAGAATAAGATAGGGCAGCTGAGAAATAATGAAGGGAATATATGAGGATGTTTTTGAAAATGAATTACAGCAGCCAAGTGAAAATTTGGAAGGATTTCTGTCAGATTGTCACTATAGTTACATCAGAGAGTTGAGAATTCTAATATGATAATTGGTAATTTTTTTTCTGTCTGAGGAATAAGATCGCTGTAATCTTGTCTACAGGAAGCTTTGATATTAAAATCCCACACTTTTCATTTCTATCTAAATATTACAGAGGGATGGAGGAAAATGTATTTAACTTCCAATTTCTTCCACCTTTCTGCCGGGAATATCCTTATCAATAACAATTTAGTGACCCTGACCTAGAAATCATTCTGCTCCAACAACAAGAACCTTCCTTTGTCCCTAGTAGGACCCTTGTCTGGGGGACAGTCATCATGACATTAGAATATCCAGTGGAAACAATGAATGACAGGATTTCTTTCCAGCTACTCAGATTTCATTACTTGCCCTGGGGCATACCTTAAGGACACACTAGGGATAAGGGAATGCCTGGGAGAATATATGAGATATCTTGGAATCAGGACTTTAGAGCTGGAAGGGACTTTAGATGGGAGTCATACTTCAGGGGAGTTTGAACTAAATTACCTCTTAGGTCCTTTCCAGATCTGGGATTTTATGATTGTAGGTCATTTGGTGCACCCTCCCATTTAATGTGCAGTCCCTTCCATAGCAGCCTTAACATCATGTTGTTGGTGACAGAGAAAATATGTATAAACATTTTAACTTTAGTTACCAAGGTGGTTAATGAACCATGGAGAGTTAATACCCAAACACAGGCATTGACGTTACTCCCCAAAGGTTTTGCTGAGTTTTCACATGGTCCTTTTACATAAGGAAGTAAAGGGCAGAGCCAGGACTTCTAGGGTATAGTGAGACTTTTTTTTTTAAAATAGTAACTGCACTACTTTATATACATGCATACATATATATATACATATATGTATATATACGTACTTTGAGAATATTGAAGTTCAGTTTTACTTATTTATGAAGAAAATATTTATTAAGCACATTAACAGGGTACAGTGGGGAAAGCCCTGTCTGCATAGTTAGAGGACTATGGGTTTAAATTTCACCTTTGACACTTGCTACCTGGATAACTTTGGGCAAATCACTTAAACTAATCTCTCTAAGCCTCAGTTTCCCCATACGTAAAATGGCTAGCTGGCATTTTAAGTTCCATGAAGTGCCAAAACTATGATTTTAACAGGGTAAAGAAAATTACTTGGGGGTGATTTCATTACTCAAGAAAACAGAATATTCAGGTACCCAATAATTACAAATCATTAAATGTGTTCATTAAAACAATTCCTCTAAAAGTCTCTTTAGAGAAAAGTAAAACTTTATTAGTCCACGTCAAGTTATTGTGTGTAATTAAGAGTAACAAAATTGCCTCTTTAGAAAATATCCTATAATTCAGACAATACTTATCCCACCTTATTTGTCCAAGCTAGCAAGGTTAAACTTAGGTTCTCATTATAGCTCTCTTGGGCCGTGTATACAGTAGAGGCTCATTACTTGTTATTGATTGTAGTTGCTGACTGCAATGTCGTTTCTCGTAGGAATCGTTAGCCGAGAGGATGCAGAAGACCTTCTGTCAAACATGACTGAGGGGGCATTTCTCGTTCGCGTCAGTGAAAAAATCTGGGGCTACACCCTCTCCTACCGCCAGCAGCATGGGTTCAAGCACTTTCTTGTGGATGCATCAGGGGATTTTTATAGCTTCCTGGGAGTGGATCCTAATCGCCATGCGACTCTCACAGACCTTATTGATTTTCACAAGGTATCCATTCTGTGAGGCACCGTCATGAAGACTTGGGTGATGGTTGAGGTCAGAGCTGTTCATTTAAGAAGTGTCATCACAGTGACTAGGACCAAGCCAGAGGTGTTGTGTAATGAGTGTGATTGAAAGATGTGATGATATAAGGACCTTCAAGACAACCCCAAATAGAAAGACGCCAAACCCAGTTCTAATTGCCGCTTCTCTTGGTAACTTTCCTTTTTACCCTCCCTTGGGGAATATTTCTCCTCCAAAGATCATCCCTCTGTGATTCATCCACATTCCCTTTGGTTTTCTCTTAAGGAACCACAAACAAAGAGAAAAAAGTGATGTAACAGGTTGCCTATGGTTTTGATCTTTATAGGAAAAATTCCCCACCCTTAGGATAGTAGCCACAATACCTGAAAGCTGTCCGTAATGCCTTTTATGTGGGAGGGTTATCTAGGTATATCTATTTCACCACAGGAGCACCACTTAATGAAAGGATGACATGGAGAGCTAGTGGGAGTCTTTCTATTTCTCAATCATTATTATCCTCATCTTCCAAACATCTTCCAGGGCTTGCTTATGTGCCTAGCACTGTGCAAGAAGTTTCTGTCACATGGGAGGGCACATAGACTGTGCCTCCAAGTATCTTACATTTTTAGCACTGTCCCAACCTTCTTCCCCAGCTACTATGGTGTAATATAGGTTCAAAATAAGGTATCGTAAAGGCTTTTTCCATAATCAAATTGAAGCTCAGCTTAGGTTTCATATAAATGGCCTCTTAAAATTAAATAGTTTCTCATTTTCAGGGCTTTTCTGGTTCCAAACCTAAAGTGATATTCCTGTGAAAGTACACATACACCCCCCACATGTACTCCCAGTTAACAGTGTGTGGTAATCTTAACAAACTTTCTTTTCTATGTTAACTGGCTTATTATCTGCTTAGTGAACTTGGGTTTAACATGCTCATATACCTGTCTGAATTGCTTCACATTGCAATTTAAATATTCTAAAGATGTCCTGTCTCCCAGAAGGTCAACTCTGGACACTTGACTTCATGCCAAGTGTGGCTCCAAAGTGCACTTTGTCAGAAACCCTGGAGCCTTTAAAAATCAGCTGTCTAAGCAAAACCAAGGCTATGGAAATGAAGAGCAGAATTTTCTTACTGCCCCATTGCAGTACTTTTTTCCATATGAAACTCCTTCAGGTTAGCTCCCTGAGGGAACTGAAACTGCAGGGAAGCCGGAGGGAGACAGGACCTAATCAACTAAATGGGATTGGGGCCAGGACAGTGGAGCTAATGCTGGAGCATTTGACGAAGTGCCCCTGAATTCTGGCCTGGATTCAAGCCCTAGTGGCCTAACCCATAATTCCCCCACAGTTCCAATTACCAGCCTGACATAAAAATAAGGCTCCTTAGAGGTTGCTTAAGACTGTTCTTTCCCCAAGTATGCTCAGGTAGACTTCTGTTGTTCTGGGTTTGGTGGTAAAGAACATGTGACTAATTTACTCATTCAATATATAAAAATACATTTGTTGTTGTTGTTAATGTTGTTGTGGATTTATGTGGGTTTATGGATATAGGGAATCCAAGTAAGGCAACTCCCTCCATCAAGGCAAACTAGTAACTTCTCTGGGAATCACCGAGAGTCGTCTATGAACATGTAGAGATCAGGTGATGTGCACAGAGTCATACAACCAGGATCCAGCATACAGAGGATCTAAACACAGGCTTACCTGACTCTGAAGCCAGCTTTCTATCCATTATATCTCTTACTATACATTTAGTGCATGCTGATATATTTGTGTGTATATGCATATATATAAACACACATGCACACACACATGCAATACATGTGTATATAGTGCGTTCATATATGTACATGTGTGCACATATGTATTTATAGAATACATGCAATATGTGTACGTATAAGTATATATAATATAGAAGTGTATATGTACTCTCTTATATATTTATTATACATGTACATATTTGTATATGTATATATGTATACATCATGCATATATACATAAATACAATACCTCTTACTAATACACTAGTATATATGTATATATGCATGTAATACATGTAATATATACATAAAATATATAAGTATATAGAGTGACAGGTCCTGGAGTCAGGAAAACCTAACTTCAAATCCAACCTTGGATAGGAACTGTGTGATCTTGGGCAAATCATTTAACCATGTTTACCTCAGTTTCCTCATCTGGAGCTGGAGAAGAAAATGGCAAATTAATATCTTTGCCAAGAAAACCCCAAAAGAGGTCAAGAAGAATTGTAGATGATGGTAAACAGCTAAACAAAAACAAATTTCTTATCTTCTGGTAGTATAGTAGATAGAACCATGGGCCTGTAGTCAGGAGGATTGTGAGTTCAAATCTAGCTTCAGACACTTACTAACTGTGATCCTGGGTAAGTCATTTAAATTCTGTTTAAAGTGGCAACTAGGTGTTGCAGTGGACAGAGTACTGGGCCTGGAGTCAGGAAAACTCATTTTCCTGAGTTCAAATGTGATGTCAAATCTGAACTCATTTACTAGCTATGTGATCCTGCGCAAATCACTTAAACTTCTTTGCCTCAGTTTCTTCATTAGTAAAATGAGCTGGATAAGGCAATGTCAAACCAAGCCAGTATCTTTGCCAAGAAAACCCCAAAATGGGGTCATGAAGAGTTGCACACGAATGAAAAATGACTGAATACACACACACACACACATATACATACACATATATATATATACACACACATACATATATGTATCTGTATATGCACTCACACTCACACACACACATATATATGTATATATATACACTGCCTCTCACTATACACTTACTACATATATATACACACATGCTATATGTAATATATACATATGTGTTATATGTATATAAACACACTTTCACTATTCATTTAGTATATATATATATATAATATGCTATCTATAATCTATATAGGTGGCATACATGTAATGTATATTATAGACACATATATATGTGGATCTATACCTACATTGTACCTATGCCAGATAAAATATAAATAAAAACAACACTACAAAGATGCCATAAGACAAAATGTACTAAGTAATAAATGAATAGGACAAGTAATGAGTTCAAGGGAAGGAAATAAACATTTATAAAGTGCTTATTATGTGCCAGGCACTATGCTAAGTACTTTAAAAATATTATCTGCTTTGATCCTTACAACAATCCTGTGAGGTAAGTGCTATTATTATCTCCATTTTACAATCAAGGCAACTGAATTAAACAGAAGTTAAATGACTTACCCAGGGTCACACAGCTAGTAAATTTCTTTTTTAAAAAAAATTAATATTTGTTTTTTCCCTATTTACTTGTAAAAAAAACTATTTTAACATTTGTTTTTAAAATAAAGTTCTAAATTCTCCCCCCCCATTGAGAAGGCATGCAAGTCCATATAGGTTATACATATGTAGTCATGTAAAACATGTTTCCATATTAGTCATGTTGTAAGAAAAAAACTTAGACCAAAATAAAAACCCAAGAAAAATAAAGAACATAAAAAAAATTTCTATCTGTGTTCAGACTCCATCATATCTTTCTCTGGGGCTGGATAATATTTTTCATCATAAGTCTTTCAGAATTGTTTTAGATCATTGTGTTGCTAAGAATAGCTAAGTCATTTGCAGTTGATCATCTTACAATATTATTGTTACTTTGTACAATGTTCTCCCGGTTCTACTTGTTTCTCTTTGCATCAATTCATGTAAATCTTTCCAGATTTTTCTGAGAGCATCTAGTTCATCATTTGTTATAACATAAGAGCATTCCATCACAATCATACATCACAAATTGTTCAACCATTCCCCAAGTGATGTGCATCTCTTCAATTTCCAATTCTTTTCTACCACAAAAAAGAGCCACTATAATTATTTGAGCATAGTTCTAAATTACTCTACATAATGGTTGAATCAGTTCACAAATCCACCAAATGTGTGTTAATGTCTCATTTTCTCCATATCCATGCCAACATTTGTCACCTTCTTTTCCTGTCCTATTGGCCAATCTAACAGAGTATGAAGTAGTAACTGAGAGTTGTTTTCCTTTGCATTTCTCCAATCAATAGTGATTTAGTGCATTTTTTCATATAACTACAGATAGCTTTGATTACTTTTTGTGAAAACTGACTGTTCATATTTTTCTCCCAGTGCATTCCTCTTTCTCACCTCTTAATTTTATCTTTTAAGATATCATTCCATCATATTCAACTCACACTTCTGTTCTCTGTCTATATATACTCCTAACTGTCCTAATAATAAGAAAGATCTTGTGAGTTATAAGTATCATCTTACCATTTAAAAATGTAAACAGTTAAACTTTATTAAATCTCTTTTGATTTCCCTTTCTTCTTTACCTTTCTATGCTTCTCTTGAGTCTTGTATTTGGAAGTCAGATTTTCTATTCAGCTCTGTCTTTTCATCAAGAATGCTTAAAAGTCTTTTCATTGAATGTCCATTTTTTCCACTGAAGGGTCATACTCAGTTTTGCTGGGTAGGTAATCCTTGGTTGTAATCCTAGCTCCTTTGCCCTCTGGAATATCATGTTCTAAGCCCTCCAATCCCTTAATGCTGAAGCTGCTAAATCTTGTGTTATTCTGACTGTGGCTTCACAATACTTGAACTGTTTCTGATTGCTTGCAGTATTCTCTCCTTGACCTGGGAGCTCTGAAGTTTGGCTATAGTATTCCTGGTAGTTTTCATTTTGGGATCTCTTTCAGGAGGTGTTTGGTGGATTGTTTCAATTTCTATTTTACCCTCTGGTTCTATAATATCAAGGCAGTTTTCCTTGAGAATTTCTTGAAAGATGATATCTAGGCTCTTTTTTTTTTTATTATGGCTTTGAGGTAGTCCAGTATTTTTAAAATGATTTCTCCTGGGTCTATTTTCCAGCTCAGTTGTTTTTCCAATGAGATATCACATTGTCTTCTATTTTTTTCATTCTTTTGGTTTTGTTTCATTGCTTCTTGATTTCTCATAAAGTCATTCACTTCCATGTGCTCAATTCTAATTTTTAATGAGTTATTTTCTTCAGCAAGATTTTGTACCTCTTTTTCCATTTGGGCAGTTCTATTTTTTAGGAGTTTTTCTCTTCAATGAATTTTTGTAAATCTTTTTTCATTTGGCCAATTCTGTTTTTCAAGATATTCTTCTCCTTATTGAATTTTTGTACCTCTTTTGTCATTTGGCCTATTCTGTTTTTAAGGTGTTATTTTCTTCAATATTTTTTGTTTCTCCTTTACCAAGCTACTGACTTGTTTTCCTGATTTTCTTGCATCACTGTAATTTCTCTTACCAATATTTCCTCTACCTCTCTTACTTGATTTTAAAAATCCTTTTTAAGCTCTTCCACGGTGTGACGCCAGTTATATTTTTCTTGGAGGCTTTGGATATGGGAGCTTTGACTTCACTGTCTTCTTCTGAGTGTGTGTTTTTGTCTTCCTTGTCACAACAATAACTTTCTATGGTCAGAATTTTTCCATTGTTTGCTCATTTTTCCAGCCTATTTCTTTACTTTTAACTCTTTGCTAAAGTGGGGTTCTATTTCCAGGGTGGAGGGTGCACTGTCCCAAGTTTCAGGGGTTTTTGTGCAGCTGTTGTCAGAGATACTTCTAGGCACTTGTAAGTTTTCAGTTCTTCCAAGGTGGTATGATCCAGGGAGAGTTGTGTTTACTATTATTCTAACCTGTTCTCTGGTCTGTGAGCAATCACAAGCCCTCTTTTCTTCCCTGGAACTGTGAGGAGAGTCCCTATTCTATTTTGGTCACATGCTCTGATGTTCCAGTGCCCATCCTTGCCCTGGGACTGACATGTAGGACTGGGGCCCAGATTCAACTATGGGCAAAGCAACTGAGCAAACAGACCCCTGTAATCTCCTTCTGAGCAGTTGTTTGACCCCCTTACCATCTGTGGTCTGAGAGCTCCATAATAGAATTAGAGACATTAAAATAATTGTCTCCTTGGATAGATACAAGAAAAAATTGAATGGTGACCTTACCCCAATGCCTGACACATAGTAAGCACTTAATAAATGATTTTTTTGTTCATTCATTAATCTATGTTGTAGGCGTCATTCCTATTCTAGGTGGGAACTTAGTCCTGTTTTCCTCAGAAGTCTTTTCCAATTCTTAGATTCTTTGAATTCATGAACTCCTGGCCTCCATCTCTCAGAGAACAGTACATTCCAGTCACCATAGGTTAATCAGACATTCCCTCCTATTTATATGTGTGAACATCCCTTTTTCCTTTCTTTCAGGAGGAAATCATCACAGTATCAGGTGGAGAGTTACTACAGAAACCCTGTGGACAGAGAGACAACCCACCAGACTACCACATGCTATTTGATTGACTTTCTTCCATGGAACAGGCCTGCATTAGATTTCTCTAATCCCTGTACCCAAGACCTTCCCAACACCCCCTACTTTGTACCAACAATGGTGGAGGGTGGGCATCTGAAGGAATGGGTAAATTTAATAAGCTTGTTCTGAAAATTTTCAAAGCCAAATGGGAGCCAGCAAGATCTCCAAATGATTTACCTCCTACTTGGCATTAAGGAAAGTCATCAGGATCATGTAGTAGATGCTCGATTTTTATTATTATTTTAAATTTGAACTGAATTTGTTGAATACAAAATATGTCTCCATGTATATCCATATATATGCATATATACACATGTGTATATGTATATATATATAGATATACACATGTGTATATGTATATATATACATATGCATGTATACATGTGTATATAGAGATATGCACAAGTATATAGATATATACATTTATGTCTATGTGTATATGAATGTTGTATATGTATCTATACACATACATATATACATACATACATAATTTCCTACAATGTGTTAGAGCCTATAATAAGCACCTTGTAAATATCTCATTTGATCCTTACAACAACCTTGGGAAGTAAATGTGATTATTATACCAATTTTAAAGTTGAGGAAACTGAGGCACACAGTATATTTATGAGGGTGGTGGTTTCATCACCAAATGGTAGGTATTGAAGGAGTGCTGGGCATGAATTCAGAAAGATCTGGGTTCAAATCCTGCCTCTAATAATGATTGTGTGACTATGGATAATTTTTCAAACTTCTCTGACCCTTGGTTTCTTCATCTGTAAAGTGAGGGCTTGGACTACATAACTCATAAGGTTTCTTCCAGCTCTAAATCCATGCCCCCATAATCCTAGATCCACTCTATTCACTAAGTCATTTGCCACTATCTGTCCTATCTTATTTGTATCTCTTTTTATGAAGGCAAATGAATGTCATTTGAGCTCATACAATGGGGCAAATTCTTGGATTCTGTATTGAACTATTTGAATGTAAGCTCCTTGATGTCAGGGAGTATTTCACTTTTGTCTTTGTCCTTTTGTCCTTAGTGGCTGGCACAGTTCCTGGCTTGTGAGATATATATATATATCGATATATATCTATATCGATATATATATAGATATATATAGATATATATCTATATATATATATAATATACACAATATATACATATGTGTATCTATAATGTATATATGCACACACATATGCATACATATGTACACATACATACATGCACACATATATACACAAATATACACACATATATACACATATACATATATACTTGCTCATTGAGACAATAGTTGGATCTCTCCATACAGATTTTTTTTGTTCAAGGGCTTAAATGTATACTTGAAGATCTCTGATAGTTCACTGGACACAATATGTTAAGAGAGCTATAATCTCTCCATTTTCCAGAGCATGGTCTTTGTTTCTTTATTAACATCATCACATATACTTCCATGACTTTCCTGGTCTCTATCCAATTGTTTGTATAGCCAAAGGGAATTAATCATTAGTGCACGGGGGAGAGCAGAGAAAATCACATGCCTTCCTCTCATACTTTGATGAATGGATCTGTTGCACCGGATCCACTGATGCACACTGAAATCCCTCCACACCTTCTTGTCCTGTGTAATTCTTATCCATGTGTTTATATTAATGCCCTGAAGAATCTCTGACTCAATAAGTTACAGATTTTATTGTGATTCTCTGAATATCCCCAGGGTACCACTGTTAACACATGGGCTGCCCACCTGTTGACTCTCGTTCTCATTATATGACCATATTTTGATATGTATGCACAAGAAGGCATTATGACATATATGAATGAGCTACTTGTTTATAAACTTCCATTTAAAAGTTGGAGGCAGGGGGCAGAGTCAGGATAGTGGAGAAAAGACAGGGACTCACCTGAGCTCTCCCTCAAACCCCTCTGAAAACCTTTAAATAATTCCACGAAACAATTCCTGGGGCAGCAGAACCCAGAAAAGGAAGGGGTGAAATAATTTTCCAGCCGAAGGCAACTTAGAAGGTCAGCAGGAAAGGTCTGTGACCACTGGGTGAGAGTGGAGCACAATCCAGCACAAGCTGTGCCAGCAGAGCCCGAGCCCCGTCAAACTAGGAGCAGACCTTGGGAGCCGCTGAATCAGCAGTGGCAGCAGCTGCTTCTGGTAAGGGAGTTGAACAACTGGTCAGAAGGAGATTACAGGGGTCTCTTTGCTAGCATTAAGGCAGAACTTTGTTCCTTTGCTCATGCTTGGATCTAGGTCCCAGTCCTAGGTGGCAGTCCCAGGGCAAGGAGGAGCACTAGAACACCAGAGCTTGTGGCCATAGTGAAGAGGGAATCCTCCTCGCCTTTCCACGAAGAAAACAGTGCTTGTGGTCACTGACCAACCAGAGCACAGGCCAGCAGAACAGTAAACACACCTCTCCCTGGATCATACCACCTTGGAAGAACTGAAAACTTACACTTACTTAGAAGTATCTCTGAAAACAGCTGCACAAAATCCCTGAAGCTTGGGACAGTATACCCTCCACCTGGAAGAAGAGCCCTGCTTTAACAAAGAGTTAAAAGAAATAGTCTGGAGAAATAAGCAAACAAGAGAAAAAAAAATTCCCACCATGGAAAGTTACTATGGTGATAAGAAGGACCAAAACACACATGCAGAAGACAGCAAAGTCAAAGCTCCTATATCAAAAGCCTCCAACAAAAAAATATGAATTGGTCTCACAACATGGAAGAGCTCAAAAAGGATTTTAAAAATCAAGTAAGAGAGGTTGAGGAAAAATTGGTAAGAGAGAGTGACGCAAGAAAATCATGAAAAAGAGTAAACATCTTGGTAAAGAAGACACAAAAAATACTAAAGAATACATCACCTTATAGTCCAAGTGGTAAAAATCCAATAAGGAAAAGAATGCCTTAAAAGTAGAATTGCCCAAATGGAAAAAGAGGTACAAAATCTTGCTGAAGAAAATAATTCATTAAAAATTAGAATTGAGCACATGGAAGTGAATGACTTTATGAGAAATCAAGAAGCAATGAAACAAAACCAAAAGAATGGAAAAAAATAGAAGACAATGTGATATCTCATTGGAAAAACAACTGAGCTGGAAAATAGACCCAGGAGAAATCATTTAAAAATTATTGGACTACCTCAAAGCCATGCAAAAAAGAAGAGCCTAGATATCATCTTTCAAGAAATTCTCAAGGAAAACTGCCTTGATATTATAGAACCAAAGGGTAAAATAGAAATGGAAAGAATCCACCAAACACCTCCTGAAAGAGATCCCAAAATGAAAACTACCAGGAATACTATAGCCAAACCTCAGAGCTCCCAGGTCAAGGAAAGAATATTGCAAGCAGTCAGAAAGAAACAATTTAAGTATTGTGAAGCCACAGTCAGAACAACACAATATTTAGCAGCTTCTGCATTAAGAGACTGGAGGGCTTAGAATATGATATTCCAGAGGGCAAAGGAGCTAGGATTACAACCAAGAATCACTTACCCAGCTAAAGTGAGTATAACCCTTCAGTGGAAAAAAAATGGACATTTAATGAAAAGACTTTCAAGCATTCTTAATGAAAAGACCAGAGCTGAATAGAAAATTTGACTTCCAAATACAAGACTCAAGAGAAGCATAAAAAGGTAAAGAGGAAAGGGAAATCATAAGGGACTTAATAAAGGTAAACTGTTTGCGTTTCTTTATGGGAAGATGATACTTATAACTCACAAGAAGTTTCTCATTATTAGGACAGTTCGAAGGAGTATAGACAGAAGACAGAGACATGAATTGAATATGATGGAATATCTAAAAAAAAATTAAGAGGTGAGAAAGAGGAATGCACTGAGAGAAAGGGAAATAAAGTGGTAGAATGGGGCAAATTATCTCACATGAAAGAGGCAAGAAAGCTTTTATAGTGGAGGGAAAGAGAGAAGGGAAGGGGGAGTGAGCAAACCTTACTTTCTGCAGAATTGGCTCAAAGAGGAAATAATATACACTCACAATTAGGTATAGAAATTGATCTTAACCTACAGGAAACTAGGAGGGGAAGGGGATAAGAGAAGGAGGGGCTGCTCAGAGAAGGGAGGGTAGATTGGGGGAGGGTATAGATGGAAGCAAAACACTTTTGAGGAAGGACAGGGAGAAAAGAGAGAGAATAGAATAAACGGGAGAATTAGGATGGAGGGAAATACAGTTAGTAATCATTTGTATGAAAAAAAATTGAAAGAAGTTTCTCTGATAAAGTCCTCATTTCTAAAACATATAGAAAACTGAGTGAAAATTATAAAAATAAGAGCCATTCCCAAATTCATAAATGATCAAAAGCTTTGGACAGTTTTCAGATGAAGTAATCAAAGCTATCTATAGCCATATGAAAAATGCTCTAACTCACTATTGATTGGAGAAATGAAAATTAAAACATTTCTCAGGTACTATCTCATACCTATTGAATTGGCTAATAGGACAGAAAAGGAAAATTTGAAATGTTGGAGGGATTGTAGGAAAATGAGACCTTAATGCACTGTTTGTGGTCTTGTAAACTGATTCAACCATTCTGTAGAGCAATTTGAAACTATGCCCAAAGGGCTACAAAACCGTTCATACTCTGACCTAGCAATACCACTGCTACATCTGTATACCAAAAAAGAAAATAAAACAGAAAAGGAAAGGACCTATATGTACAAAAATATTTATAACAGCTCTTTTCTAGTGGCAAAGAATTGGGAATTGAGTGGATGCCCATAAGTTGAGGAATGGCTGAACAATTCTGTCATGTGATTATGATGAAATACTATTGTGCTATAAGAAATGATGAGTAGGATACTCTCAGAAAATCCTGGAAAGACTTATACAAGCTGATGCAAAGTGAAATGTACTATATACAAAGCAACAGCAATAATGTAAGACAATCAGCTGAGAATGACGTAGGCATTTTTAGCAATACAATGATCCAAGACAACTCTGAGGGATTTATGGTCTAAAATGCTATCCATCTCCAGAAAAAGAAGTGATTATATCTGAATACAGATGGAAGTATACTTTTTTAAACTATCTTTATTTTTCTTGAGGTTTTTTTGGGGGTGTCTAGGTTTTCTTTCATAACATGACTATTATGGATATGTTTTGCATGACTACACATGTATTAGATTATTTGCCTTCTCAATGTGGGGGGAGGGGTTGGGAAGGGAGGAAAGGAGAAAATTTGAAACTCCAAGTT